TTTATTTTTTAACAGTTTCGGTTGCGACTTCAGTTACGTTCTCCGATTTCTCCGCGTTTTCGTCGTAACTGCCGCTGATATTCTTTGGGTCTTTCGGTTAAAGTCACGACGTTTCGATCGCAACACAAGCAATCGTCGCCTCCTGATGAAGATCGCTTGTGTTGCGATCGAAACGTCGTTTTTTGTCTTTTTTTTTTGGTTCTACGTGACTTTACCGAAAGACCCAAAGCAGATGAATGCCTGCAGTCACGAAAGCTTTAAGTCAAGACGTAACTGCTGTTGGTTAAGGACGATATTAATTTCACTTAAACTTCACGTGGCCTTTGAGCCGCGTTCATATGGCGTAATGAGGTATCAAATGAGGGCTTCTGTTTATAGATGTTCTCATGAGCCCCTGGTGTGTTGGCTCCTTGTAGCGGATTTATTTTTTAACACGTCAGTGAATATATGCAGTTTGTGTTGTTTTTTACATGTCACGTAACTTGCAGTGCCGATGCGTTGCATAACGTTGTCCCCTCGTTTTAAGTTAGTGTTTAATGCGGCCTTCCATCGCTTCCTTTAATCGGGCACGGCAAAGGTACAAAAGTGCGTGGGGAAATGTACAGTGAAATAATAAACACATCAGGTCCAACGTGCGCGTTTTGTGACACCCAAAAAGAAAAGACCCCAACGTGTCGCAAACGTAGAACTACGGTGCAGTCTTGTCGGCTCGCAGAGCTCTCAACTCGAATATATTTGGGTAAAAACAAATTATAATTTCATTATCATTTCAAAATGATCAATTATCATAACGCCTGCAAGGTGCCCTCTTGGTTCTCTGGCTGTTGAAACTTGGTGGCTGTTGAAAGCACGCCGGGGAGTGGGGGTGGTGGTGGTGGAACTCTTCTGGGGAGGAAACTCTTGTGGTTAATGACGTCGAGATAAGCAGAACTCCCGTTGACAAAACGCCAACGCACCTCGGTCACGGGCTGCTCATTGGTCGGTGCCCTTAGAGCAACTCGAGGTGCCGAGCAAGGGCACCGGAGGCACTGCGTGGAAATCTGAATTCGGTATAAGGAAAAGAAAATGGTCAAAAACAGCTTCACCCATCTGAAACGCAACGTCGCAGGGAAGTCTAGTTTTGGTCCGTGTTGAGGTGTGTGAAGCCTTCATACCTGCAAACCCCTTCTTATCAGTGCCCTGCCTTATTACAGACAAGTTAAGACCTTATTGGTCACCCCGTGCCCGTATGAATCTCAACGTTCATTCTATCCACTACACTATACACTCCACTACACTATACACTCCACTACACTATACACTACACTTTTATACACTAAGCTATACACTACACTATACACTACACTTTTATACACTACACTATACACTACACTATACACGACACTTCTATACACACACTATACACTACACTATACACTAAACTATCCACTACACTATACAATACACTATTATACACTATACTATACACTACACTTCTATACACTACACTATACACTCCACTATACACTACACTACTATACATTACACTATACACTACACTTCTATACACTACACTATACACTAAACTTTACACTACACTATACACTCCACTACTATACACTACACTCTACACTACACTTCTATAATCCACACTACACTAAACTATACACTACACTCTACACTACACTTCTTTACACTACACGATAGACGACACTATACACTACACTATACACTACACTACTATACACTACACTATACACTACACTTCTAAACACTACACGATACACTACACTATACACTCCACTACACTACTATACACTTCTACATACCTGCCAACCCCTTATCAGCGCCATACATTATTACAGACCAGTTCACACCTTATTGGTCCACCCCGTGCCCCTTATACATCTCAACGTTCACCCTACAAAGTCCCGTCGCAAGGTAGAACACACAAAACCCAATAGACAAGCAAAAAAATGTTGTGCCCGTATTGAAACGGCTGTACGCCGCATGGACCTGCAAACTCAATTTCCCTGCACAATCATACGGGGTAAAGCGTTATGGGTTGACCAGGGTATGAAGAGAGCCTTGCCCTGCCGTGGGTCACGTTGGAGAGAGTTGTGGTGTCGTGCGAGGGTACGGGAGAAGGAAATCCGCGCAGGTAACCTTGGGTGGCTGGCCCGTTCGTATATTTGTTCAAAGGGCAAGTCGCGTGGCACTTTGAGACCACTTTCGTCAATAAACACATTCCTGCGGAGGGAGCTGGTAGGAACGTTGGGTTGCTCAGTCAATGGTCAGGGTCAACGGCAGCGTGGTGTTTTCCGCAAATATGGCCGACTGTGAGGGCGGGCACAAGCCGGCGTGAGTAGGTTAAACGTGAGTTTTATAAGGGCACCACAGGGTGACCAGCCCCCCCCACCCAGCCCCACCCCTCCCACCCCCCACCCAGCCCCACCCCTCCCACCCCCCACCCAGCCCCACCCAGCCCCACCCCTCCAACCCCCCACCCAGCCCCACCCTCCCCACCTAGCCCCTCCCAACCCAGCCCCTCCCTGCACGACGGACACAATAATCCCCTGTGGGCTGGTGTAACCAGGAGATTCCTACCAGTATAAGACCGCAACTCGGATCAGCGCGGTTGGCTTGCGTATGGTGCAAAAGAAGTTCCGACGTACATAATGGCTTTGCTCGCTCGGGTGTTTATTTGCCATGTGCACGACTGGCACGCAAACATATTCTTGTTTAGATCACAAACGCGAAGATATTAGGTTCGTGTAAAATTCTATTCTCTCTATTCGGACATGGTAACACGTGCCGTGGCATTGGTAACACGTGCCGTGTTGAGTGTTGGCCAACATTTTTGCTGTGATCACTTTGCATGCTTCTGCTTGTGTGTTCCTGAAAATCACACGAGTTTTTGTGGGCGCGGGTTTCGTTTTAAAAACAACCTAACTACATCAGGAATATGTTGCCAACATTTCCGCCACACAGGGTGGAACAATAGCGGACGTTCAGAATTAATCGCCTCATTTGAGATCCAAACATCGCACCTCCTGGCTCTGACATTCCTTCTCCTCCAAGACACCACAAAATAAAAATAGGTTTGACCCTTTCTGTCACTAAAACAGGTGTTAAGATGTTCACACACCAAATAGAAACATTTTTGTTTGCATGTTCACCACAAGTACGGGTGGTTAATGCAGACTTGATTCATTGCAAAAAGTTTTTTATTTGGTGTTTGAACACCTTAACACCTGTTTTATGGCCAGAAAGGGTAAAACCTATTCTTATCTTTTTCTTCATACATTAATACTGGCAAAAAATGTCCCATGTTACCGCTGGTAGTGTAACCATCAACCGATATCAGAACATCGGCAGGCCAATGCAACTGTGGCAACGCAACCCAAACTGTGACCTATATTGGATTACTCTTTGGTTCTTTCGATAATTTTATACCTACGTGACTTTACCGAAAGAACCAAAGAGTATGGATTCCTGCCAGAGGTGTGGACTCGAGTCATGTGACTTGGACTCGAGTCAGACTCGAGTCATGAATTTGATGACTTCAGACTCGACTTGGACTTGCATAACAATGACTTTGTCCCACCTCTGATTCCTGCAGTCACGAAAGCTTCAAATCGAGATCAAATCTCGACTATATTGGAGTGTTGCTCTCCTTCAACGGAGCAGTAGCAAACCGAGACAAACTTTTCTTTTTTCGTGAAGCCCTCTCGTGGCTCGCAGACCTCGGCAGTGGCATTTAGCTACTGAATATATCGTCAGGCACAAAGAATAGAAACGATGCTTTAATAATTGATATATTTCTGGGCATCCTATATAGTAATTAAATACGTACAGGCATTTACGCAAATTTTCGTGATTAATCGGACATACGTACGCTGCTTATTTTGATGTAACATTAAGTGCTCCAAAGCGGAGTACTTTTGCACGCCGCACATCCTTATACTGTTTGCATTGCACAACGCCAAATAATAGCGACACGTAAGAAGGTTAGACACATTTACTGTGTGTATATACAGGTGCTCGCAGTTAAGTTATCATTTATACTTTCACTTTAAAATCACAAACTCAGTGGTATATGATGGCTTTATAAACACGTTCATTGTTCTATGGATGAACTGGCCACCACCAAAGCATCGTGGAAAGTCCACCTCTGTGTCAGGAGTACTAATAGGCACGAGCGCAGCTCTGCACCCGTTTGAGCATCGAATGACTTTGCCCCCTTGAGCGAAATTAAGTTTCGGAATGCCCTTTCGTTCGGCATTTAAGTGGGCTGCCTTTAACTCGGTGACCCATTGTGTGGCGGTGGCTGTCCAAGTTGCGACACGAGGTGGTGCCTTGTTGGCCGACGACACCTTGCACGAGCCGCAAAGCCGCAGCAATTTGCTCTGAAATGTAAACGCCCTCTCCGCGGTGGCCAACTAGCGCAACTGGTTTGACGGGAGAGCGTGACAAAACTTGATAGCCTTTTTTGCCCAAAAAAAAAACAGATGATTCTGACTTGGACGCGGATGCGACCGCTGGACAGGAATCGTGCGCCATACAGTAGGCAGGGATCATTTATCAGTGGCGTCCGAGCTCGGTGGCCTGTGGATATAAATAGGTGGGTCGCGAAAGGCAGTCTCTGTGTTGTCGCCGCGGTACGTGAGTGGTGGTGGTGGTGGTGGGGATGGATTGTTTTATCGTGCTTTGTTTCGTTTTGCGTGATGATTTTCTTTTTGACCGCTGGCTCTTGTTTCTCCGAACGGGAGATGTGCATTTCTGCTAATGTGCGGTAACGTTGAAAATCACCAAGAACCGCGCCGATGTTTGAAAATACGCAACGGTGCTTTAGAGGAAGAAAATGCGGAATTGTTTTGAATAAATGTGCGCTTTGCTCATGAAAAAACATTACAATTATGTGCTTTTTTTTTCAAAATTGAGCTAAAATACAAAATGATTAACATTGTGTTCTACGAATTAACACTACCATTGTATTGCTTGACTTGTCACTTCAACAGCAGTGGCATCGGAGTACGAGGAAGGGGGCAGTTATTCTCCACGATTCGTCGACAATGGAGCTCGGAACGCGGCCATCCGACGACCACCAGCACCACCACCACCACCACCACCACCACGGCCGGCATGTCGATGGTGAAACGGGCGGTGGTAGCCACGGCTCCGTCTTGCCCGGGGTGTTCCTGGAGATCCCGCCGGTGTCGATGCGCGGCGGCGGGGTGGGCCGTCGATCGCGCTCCGTCGAGGAGCTTGCGCGCTCCGCGCACGAGTCCGAGAGCGACCCGGAGAGTCGAGGGCGCAGCCGGAGCGGCGGCGGCGGTGGCAGCAGCAGGAGCAGGAGCAGCAGGAGCAGCAGCGGCGGAAGCAGCAGAAGCAGCAGGAGCAACAGCAGCAGCACCAGCAGCTGCGACCACGACGAGGTGGACACGCCGGACCGGCGCAGGACGAGCGCGAGCGTGGAGGGTCTCTCGAGCGTGACGGTGGAGGTGACGGTGACGCCCTGCGCCGACTTCCCGGCACGCTACGGCGTGATCGACGTGGACAGCCCGAGAGGTGCTTGCGTGCCGACCGCTCGCCTGCCTTAGCCCCGTCGCATTTGGGTTCTGCGTCTGGCGGGGAACGTTGCAAGAGTCGACCGCCGTCTTTTGGTTTTGCCGGGTCACTTAATTTTGGGTCGTTTCATTCACCTGCAATAGCACGGTTGGCTCCGTACGATGGGAAAGAGTTACAACACACATACATACAATAGATCGGTGGGTTGGATGCAGCTGTGGTATAACAGTCAGCACACTGCAAGTGTGAGCCAGTCGAAGCAATGGGTAAGTTTAATAAATTCCCCACCAGCCTCTGTAGATGAGTACACCACAGTCGACTAGAAGGCTGCGTGTGGTGGGGGGAAATGTGGGTACTACCACCTCTTCCAAGATGTCTGTTCAAGGTGGAAGAGTAGGCCAAAATACAGCCAATAGAGGGGCTCTATAGAGCTCCCTCTAGTGCAGTGGTGTGAGCAATTATTTTCAGGGTTACACCTTTGCCTTTTGACACGTTTTACATGAGTAATAGTAATTTCGAATTTCCACCACTGGCTCACAGGCACAAAAGTGTCTTCATGAACGATCGTTGGGGTGTGTGAAATTCATCTTTGTCGGTGACCCTACATTGGTATTTCAAATGTCTTTGGTGCGGGTCAGTTTATCTATGTGAAGACCACTGTTGACTTACCCCAAAATTATTCCAATTTTATTGAACCTTAGAGAGATGATAGGTCAACCTCCAGCTGGTATTCACGTACAATTATGAGCCTTCATTATTTTTACCTGCATTAGAATTTGGGCTTTAGTATATCATATAATGGTTATTTACACAATATATCATGATTATTCTATGTATTATATATCACAGCCTTTTGTCACTGCACTACTCAATGAAGGTCTCCACATACCACATCGCTAATGGGTTTGTTTGACCATACCTCACCTTGCTAGTCAAGCGTGGGTTGCTGATTTGAGGAGTCGAGACCTTTTCAGATATAACTCGTCACTGATGTTAACAGTGGCCTGGAATCAAACTTAAGTTGGTGGCTTTGCAGCGCATGGGGCTAACCACTGCGCGACCATTTCTCTCAGTATATATGGTCAGAGATTATTTTTTTTAAACACTGGGAATTGAACAGTGATTGTCAATAGGACAATACAGTGTATACAATAGAGCCACTGGTGACTTAGATATGTGGATTTTTCACCACTGCTTCAGGGCCAGAAATGGTGATGAGTGTCACCCAAATCTCGTTTGATCATAGAGACACTGAGACATTGACTACACATTTCTTAAAAGCTTCAAGCTTGTTGCTCTCAGGCATGAGTTTAAATCCCAGCTATGGTTGACTCTATTATCCAATAATTTTCCCTCCAATCAGCAACATCGTAGGTATGTGTGGGTTCTCGCAGCTGCAGAGGAGGTGGTTATCAGTGATCCGTGCACTGCCATCATCAACTTGAGTTGATTCCTGTCCACGGCTAACATCGGTGGAGAGTGATATTTGAACAACTCCCAAGGCCTCCCCTAGGGCGAATTAAAACTCAAACGAACACCTGGCGCTGTGTGTTAAACATCTTCTCTGGCATAGGTGGTTGGGGCATCGTTTGGGCATCGTTGGGGCATCGTTTGGGGCATCGTTTGGGGCATCGTTGGGGCATCGTTGGGGCATTGTTTGGGGCATTGTTTGGGGCATTGTTGGGGCATCGTTGGGGCATTGTTTGGGGCATTGTTTGGCGCATTGTTTGGGGCATTGTTTGGGGCATCGTTGGGGCATTGTTTGGACATCGTTGGGGCATTGTTTGGGGCATTGTTTGGGGCATTGTTGGGGCATCGTTGGGGCATTGTTTGGACATCGTTGGGGCATTGTTTGGCGCATTGTTTGGGGCATTGTTTGGGGCATCGTTGGGGCATTGTTTGGACATCGTTGGGGCATTGTTTGGGGCATCGTTGGGGCATTGTTTGGGGCATCGTTGGGGCATTGTTTGGACATCGTTGGGGCATTGTTTGGACATCGTTGGGGCATTGTTTGGGGCATCGTTAGGGCATTGTTTGGGGCATCGTTGGGGCATTGTTTGGGGCATCGTTGGGGCATTGTTTGGGGCATCGTTGGGGCATTGTTTGGACATCGTTGGGGCATTGTTTGGGGCATCGTTGGAGCATTGTTTGGACATCGTTGGGGCATTGTTTGGGGCATCGTTGGGGCATTGTTTGGACATCGTTGGGGCATTGTTTGGGGCATCGTTGGAGCATTGTTTGGGGCATCGTTGGGGCATTGTTTGGGGCATCGTTGGGGCATTGTTTGGGGCATCGTTGGGGCATTGTTTGGACATCGTTGGGGCATTGTTTGGGGCATCGTTAGGGCATTGTTTGGGGCATCGTTGGGGCATTGTTTGGGGCATCGTTGGGGCATTGTTTGGGGCATCGTTGGGGCATTGTTTGGACATCGTTGGGGCATTGTTTGGGGCATCGTTGGAGCATCGTTTGGACATCGTTGGGGCTTGTGTCCGCAGCGCTGGGCGGAGGTTTCCTGTCCCCGCGTGACGAGGGCTCCCTGCGGCGCCGCACGTACAGCGAGAACAACCTGCTGAGGGACACACGGACTCCCCCGTCGCCGACGGACGTCTCGGGGAGGCTGGGCTCCTCCGCCCAGCGGGACGACAGCACCACCCGCAGCGACTGGAGCCTCCTCGGCCCGCCCTGGGTGGCCACCGGCGCTTCCATCGACAAGAAGAAGACGGCCTCAAACCCCACGCTCTACGCGCCCTTTCTCAAGTTCAAGAAGGTGAGAGCGCCAGGGTGGATCCAGAATCAGAATATGCATTTGTACTCGGGGAATCGGATGAGCTATACGGCTGTTTATTTTCACAGATGTCCAGTAAGGGGCAGGTCAGAAGGTTACAACAACAAACAATACTAAAAGTAAACAAATCACTTGAAAAATATATACTAAGTATAACCCGTAAAAACAAAGTTTTTCACTATAAATCCTTTATATGCGTGGCGGCTAGAGTCCTCTCGTCCTCTGGCTTGAGATGGCTGCCACCTATGGGTCAGATGATTGTCTGCCAGTATTAAGCAATTGGTAATTAAATATTTAATTTGTTTTCCCTAAACAGTGTAAAATTTTGGAAAAAAAAATTCACGAACATTAATTGTCTCGCACAACGAGTCTGTGTGCAAAATGTCAGCTCGATTGGATCACGGGAAGTGGGTTAAAAAACGACCGAAAGATTGGCACGGTCGTAAGCAAGCAATCAAGCACGCAAGCACGCAAGCAAGCAAGCAAGCGAACTTAATATAAAGGATTTAAAAATGAAAGTAATTTTTTTTTATCTTACCAGGTAAAGCCCACTCAGCTATTCGTTTATTTTTCAGAAGCGACCTGGCCACAAATGATAGCTCGATGAAGTGGCTTATCACGTGGAGATTTACAGCAGCAAAATAATCTCAAAGATCTAGACGCATGTTTCGATAATGTGGAAGGGAAAAACCGGGGGAAACGTGATAAAAAAATCCACGCGACCACGGAGAGAACACGCAAACTCCACATATAGGACAGGCATAATAGAGTTGACCATAGGGTCGCGATCGAACCCGCGACCTCCTGCATGCCGACCTCCTGTTAACCCGCAGCTGTCTAGGAGTCTCTAGCCGCGCACTCCGTTCAGAGTCTCTTCCCTCTCGCTGTGACTGCGGCTGTGAGTCACGAGCCACCTGCTCTCAAGGAAGGGGTGATTCACTTTCCATGCCCCCTCTGCCCGCTCGCTCCCAAACGCGAACTCACTGCCTGCAAATAGTTTATTTATTGATATTTACCAAAGGACAAATATTATTAAAGAGCTATTTAATACGTTTTACATTTTTGACAGTCCCCGCACCCGCCCACCCTTCCTCCCATTGTAGAGTTTGTAGAGCCACCTCTGAGTCTAGTCAGCGGCCTGGAGAGTATTTCTGCATCCGACACACCACATCAAGTATACAGCAATGGCTTTAGCTGCCAGTCACGTGCTATCTACTCCAATCTGTCAACACAATCGCTGAAAACTCTTTGACGTAGAATCCGAGTCGCATGAAGCCCAGCTTGGCGGTGTCCACCAACAAACTCGATGATGAATGTGGCGAGTGTGTTTTTTGGAGACAAGAGTTGGTAGATTGTGCAGATTTGTGAAATTCGCACTGGGGCGCAAGGTGGCCAGGAGGAAGCAGAGCAGCTGATGAGTTCCTGAGCCGGTCTCCGTGAACCTTTCAGTATCACCTCTCGTGTCAATGGGTTCATCTGTGTGTATATACTCTTAGTTCTTTCGGTATCTAGAATTCATCTGTGTGCTCTGGTTTCCTCCCACACACAAAAACACTCCTTGAAATGGAATTTATCAAATATCCAAAAGTAGGACCCTCTTGAAAGATACGCTTGAAGATTTAAAAAAATATATTACTCTTTAAACCAGTTTAATTGCCAGTGCGTGAAAACAAAAACTAACGCATTTAATCGACAGAGATCCTGCTGTGGTGTAATGTTTACCACAGAGGCTCTGCACAGGCCATCATTTGTAAATGTACTGCTGTACATTAAACACACTCTGTGTATTAATGCATTTTAATGTATTTTGCAAAGAGGGATCGACTTACCCCATTGTATTTCAACAGTGAATGCCAGATTTTAAATTCGTGCATCCCTCCGCGTTGCCGTGGTGTGATGCCGTTAGCACCGGACGTGCGGCCCAGAGGTCGTCGGTTCTATCTCCCGACCGCTGCGGTTAAAACGACGGAAGAAGTTTTTTTTTTTTACCGTCCACCTCGAGTCCACGCAGCGATGTGTATACCACGATTAGTAGAAACGGCAAGACGCGTGTGGTGGGGTCAATTGTAGCTACTCCCGTCTCTCCCAAGACGTCTTGCCAGCGTGGATGAGTAGGCTAAAATACCCTCTAAAGACACTCATACGTGAAGGCCCTTCTGGCGTGAGCAGGTAATTGTAGGGCTGCACCGTAACCTTTGCAAACAGCCAGCCACCAGGTTTTTTCGAATCAAATTATCCCAGTAGCATTTATTTCATCGAGCCAAACCCTGGACCGGTTTCAACGTCCCTGGGTTTCATCAGCAGGGTCTAGCCTGTCAAACTAACGCTACTGATATGGAATGCCCATTGATGGACGAAATTTAAACAACCTCCCGTACGTGTTTAACTGTATGTTTATCGCGATCCATAATTTCCCTGCTCTGCGCACAATTCATTGGAACGTTTTTGGACTATTGGTTGACCGCTCTTATTTACATGGTATCTGCAGCAGATATTTGAAATGCTTTGCGAAGGGGTGTCCATTTAAGGCAGAGTGACAAACAGAGCCGTTTATACGCTGCGCGCCGCAACTTAACGGCTGCATGTTTCACCCGCACGCCAAAGTGACGATTCCAGTGGCGGCGTACATTCTTTGCGGCCTGGAACAGAAACGAGATAAGGCATGCCATTGAACGGTGCCACGCCCAGTGCCAACTTGGGCTGATGGAGTTGCACGCGCAACGGCGCAGCTGCAACCTTCACGCCTCACAGCAAAAACAAAAAGGGGGCCTGGGTTCGATTGCCGAACTCGCGCAGCCGTTCTGTGTGGGAGTTTGTGTGTTCTCCCCCTGTTCTGTACGACTTGCTTCCAGGTTCTGTGGCTTCCTCTCGTATTGCTAGTATATCTACAATGCAATTGGCATTAGCCAAATATCCCAATGCTGAAACATGACCTGCAAATGACAGTAGTCAATTGGCGTCACAGCAAACGTTGGCCCCTTATTGCAAAATACTTGGCAGTACCCTCCTGAAAAAGAGTCTTGAGACTCAGTGAGGATATCCTGGGTAAAAACCGAGTGAAACTCCACGGGGAGAAATAAGTGGCCTCGCATGGATATAGGCAGCCTCGACTTTCTCGATGGGTCACGTGAGCCCATTGCGTGCAACTTGTATGAATCGATAGAAATCAAATTGTGACAAATCTAATTTGCAGTGTGTATCGCGGACGTGAGAATCAATATTAATAAATAGACGTGTCGTTACGAAGCATACAAAGGCATGAGTAAATAAGAACGTGTATTTGCAGCTATACTGAGATTGTTTGAAGATAACAACAACATACAATTTAGAATAAAGAATCGCTTTCACGGCAGTTATCCACGACAGAGTTGCAGCCAAAGTAGGGAACACGCCCGAGATGACGTCCGTGGCAGAGAATGAAATTAAAATTAATAAAAAATAAAAACAATAAAATCACGACGTTTCGGAGGCAACACAAGCTTCCGTCTTCAGGTGATACAGATATTTTGCTGTGACAGTTTCACCTGAAGACGGAAGCTTGTGTTGCCTCCGAAACGTCGTGATTTTATTGTTTTTATTTTTTATTAATTTTAATTTCATTTTTTTCCTACATCACAGGACCGTGAGAGGTGTATGCATGCATGTTGAATTTCTTTCGCACCATACGTCACCAACCCTGCGAAGCGGAGTTGCAGAATGGCGACACCTTGGGGAGCATTTCATCCGGCAGATGATAGATCATGGCTGATAATGATGAGGCCTTCGTCAGATTAAAAATAACCGTTATGATAGCTGAAGCAAAAGCTGTGCATATCGTGGTAGTATATTGGCCAAATAGATCTAGGGGCTTGTTCGCCTGAACTGAATGTTAACGAGATCGACGCGTTCATTTGGGCCAATTCTGGGGGACAAGCTGCCGCGTGATGCTTTGCGCATGTTTCATACAAACGAAAACAACCCACGTTGTTCTTGAAAATGGAGAGGCTGCCGGTGTAACATGATTCAATCTCTCTTGAAATTCTCCGCACTAGCCTAGCCCAGCGACATTGCGGGGTGGCTAGGACATTCACAGGGCGGCAGTGGCTTCTTGACTCTCTCGCTCTGTGGAGTTCTGGGCATCTTTCACCTACTTGAATGAGTGAGGTTTATTTATTTTTAACGGGCACTCCTAAATCCCCTCCCAAAAAACTAATTCGTGGAAATGTTTTTCCACGCACCCCCCCCCCCCCAATTCTGCAGGACCCTCGTAAAAACGTGTCTTCAGACTCTTGGGTGGCGGGGTCTTTAAACATACTTGGTTCATGGGTAAAAGCGTAAAGGCGCAGCCCTGGAATTTCTTGTTCACACCACTGCTGGTGGAAGGGCCTCCAACGAGAGGGGACTTTAGAGAGCCCCTCTCGAGAGTGCTTTGGCCTACTCTTCCCCGCTGGCCAGATGTATTGGAGGGTGTGGTTGTACCCACACTTTATCCCACCTCACTCGACCTGCTATACTGCTGTGTGGACAGAGGCAGTAAGATGCAATAAACCTGCCCCATCCCTTTAACTGCCGTGCCTCGAGATGAAATGGAACCGGCAACCTCTGGATTTGCAAGTCCAGCGTGTTAACCGTCACACCACAGCAGCGCCCTTGTCAAAATAATCACTGCAGGGTATCGTCGGGGTAGCCGTGTTTGAAACGGCAGCAGAACGAACATGTGCGTTTACTTTGGCGAAGAAGAGGTCGTAAACTTAATGTTGGCGAGTTGGAGATTCGTTGGGCAAGTTTGTGTGTAGGACACACGTCAAAGCGCGAGGAGGTGCAACAAATAACACGGATTTATTTGCACATTGCCGTCACACGTTGCGAAATGTAGCCCCCCGCCACAGTCTTTATATAGCCGGCCAGGTGGCCGCAACGAACAGCGTTTCCCATAGGATTGCAGTTTTTTTGTTGTTGTTTGAACTCAAACTCTTTGGCACACGGTGCAACGTCAGGTGGCA